AAATTTAGACATTCTTAAAATATATTTTTAAACATGAATTAAGTATTATTACCTTCCTGTTAAAAATCCTTAAATAAAGTATTGACACCAATTCCTATAATATTATCTTTATTTTCTATACTTAGATTCTATCTCATGCATGCAGTTTAAATTTAAATGGATAAACGTCAATTTCATCAAACATGAATGCTACGGAAGCTTATCAGGGCCTCCACTTATCTAAAAGTTTCACGTCATGTCAACTTGTTTCTTCTCGTTTTGACCAAATACATTCCATGAAGACGTTATGATTAATACGTAATACATAAAACATTACGTGAAGTTAAGATTTATACGTAATACGTAGAAAGTTTTAATCATTGCAAAAAAACTTTGTTGAATTACGTGAGCTATATGTCAATGCGAGTAACGTCTTTGCGTCTTACTAAATATTTCAGCAAAGTCGTGAAATCAAGAAGTTTCGACAGGATGTTTGTCGAAGAGACAAAAGCTTCAAGCAAATCGAGAAAAATTCAGTTGCAATGCCTAAAAGCTTTTCATCTTTGTCAGTAAATTTTATTGAGAAATGCAAAAACATCTTATCAATGCGAATACAAATAAATGTATGTGTCGAAACTTCTTGATTTCACGACTTTGCTGAAATATTTAGTAAGACGCAAAGACGTTTCTTGCATTGACAAATAGCTCACGTAATTCAACAAAGTTTTTTTTGCAATTTGCAATGACTAAAAACTTCTACGTATTACGTATTAATCATATCCTCTTAATGGAATGTTTTATGTATTACGTATTAATCATAACGTCTTCATGGAATGTTTTTGGTCAAAACGAGAAGAGACAAGTTGACATGACGTGAAACGTTTAGATAAGTGGAGGCCCTGATAAGCTTCCGTAGCATTCATGTTTGATGAAATTGACGTTTATCCATTTAAATTTAAACTGCATGCATGAGATAGAATCTAAGTATAGAAAATAAAGATAATATTATAGGAATTGGTGTCAATACTTTATTTAAGGATTTTTAACAGGAAGGTAATAATACTTAATTCATGTTTAAAAATATATTTTAAGAATGTCTAAATTTGACAAATGATTACATTTACTACGGAAGGTTATTAGGGCCTATATTTGATGAGATGATTTCCGCTAAGTCGATTTATTTTTATTCGCATTGATAAGATGTTATTGCACATCTCAATGAAATTTACTGACAAAGATTAAGAGTTTTTATACATCGCAACTTAACTTTTCTCAATATGCTTGATGCTTTTGTCTCTTCGAAGAAAAAATCTATTAAGGAAAGATACACTTCGTCTCTTCGAAAAAAATCTAGTTAAAAGACATTCACTTCGTCCCGATTTTGCTGAAATATTTGGTAATACGCAAAGAGGTTACTCGCATTGACAAATAGTTAACGTAAATCAACAAGTTTTTCGCAATGATTATAAAACTTTTACGTATTACGTATTAATCTTACGTCTTCATGGGATGTTTTTGGTCAAAACGAGAAGAAACATGTTGACATTTTTAGATAAGTGGTGGCCCTGATACGCTTCCGTACCTAACCAGTACAAACAATTGTATTGTATAGTAAAATGATTACTAAACACGTTTAACTATGGAAGCTTGAATTAACCCTCGAGATGCCGTGTTCCGTGATAATTTATATGTGGTCATGTTGACATATATTAGTGCGACATGGCGTGTTTTATCATGGTTTTGATGGAGAAACATAGAATCTTTACAACATCTGTATCAGGGCATGTCGACATAACTTTTGTCTTTTATAAAACAGGACGAGAACCATTTTGAATTATTATTCGGAATACTAAATCCCGCCCATCGAGTAAGGACAGACATGCTGTATAAATATATCGTTGATTTTATTTATAAACTCAAATATTTGAATCGTCCATATTATGAAAACAATTTCGGCTATATTAAAAGTTTATCAGTCTGATGTTTAATTTGATCTTAGTGTGTCAATTGAGTTGATTTTTCACAATACAAGCTGTGCATTTCGTTAAATAATCTTACTGGAAATAAAATAAGTTAGATAACTTAAATACCCTTTCGTCGGACACTTTTGAAGACAAAAATAACAATTAGTTTTATGCATATACTCACATTCGAATGCATTTTGTAGGCTAGCTTTTATCTATCTCACTGGCAGTAAAACCAGAAACATATATCAGTCAGTGTTTGATATACAAAAAAAACGTATTGATATCCATTTACTATTGAAAAGATATCCGGATACCATTGAAAGGACATTTCAGTTAGCAGCCAAATCTACTGTTTTGATAATTATGATATTGATAACTTTGCAAATGACAGTATATCGGTTAGTATAGGTATATCAACAATGTTTATGACAGTAAAATGCAGAGGGACACAATAACACGGACATCGGAACACCTTTCAATGATTTCCTGCAAACTATTTTGTCAATCTGTATGCCATAATTAACTATTGACAAAGTGATTGGCAGTATAACAGTCACATATATGTGCCTATTTACGGTAGAAAACGTCATATATGTAAGTTAAGTACTATGGGTTCCATCGGAGGGCCGTCTGGACACATAATCACTGTTTTAATGTATTGTTAATGTATATCAGTTAAGTTACTTACAGATTTGCTGTATAAGTAATATGCTGAAGACACCATTATAAAGACGTACAATAAGTCTCGTATAAAAAATCTTTGTAAGGACATTTGAATGTTCATCAATATCTATACAATATAAAGTGCATTTTCCACTAGCAAACACTCAAATATTCCTCTGGGCAACAACATTTCTAATAAATTAATCATTTTTTATTATTCATCTAATTTGTTTGTTTGTTGTTTTTTTGTATTATTCTAATTACATTTGAACTCCTTTCCAAACGTTTTTGGTAATCTTTTAATTTCATAGGTACAATATTATTACTCAGAACAGAACACTTGGCTGAAAACTGAAATTTCCTTTCAAAGAGATCTAAACGTCTTTCAAATGAAAAGTGGATGTCACGGTTCAAAACTGTTCACTATTTAGGGGAGTTGATGTGTAAGCGGCCGGGTAGCCGCGGCTCGGTATTCCACGATAGCCCGGGTTCAAGTCCCGGTCAGACTGCACATTTTTTTCTCACCCTGTGACACGTATATAAAATGTAAAACGTTGTTAACCAACACTGACTAAAATTATTTATCTGTTATAACAGCTAGTTAGATAAAAACGCATGAACAAAATGCACTGCATATACGGACATATACCAAATTTTGTAATAAAATACAATTGACCTTTCAAAGTGTCTACCGAAATATTCTTTCAATAATGAACCATTCGATGTATTAATTTTTTGGTTTGGTGGGAGTGGTTTAGGTTCCGAATATTAATTAGGTATTTCCGACAGTGCAAAGTTGTAAAGACGTGGTGATATTTTCCAAAAAGCAGAGATATAACTAGTCTCGTCGAGATGAAATAGGTTGACATAGCTTTTCGAAATTCTCATAAACTCGATAGCTGACAAAATATATGTCGACATGCTTTGAAACAAACGTTGTCAATACGTCTTTCTTATCTTACCAAACAATGATAGAAGACGTCATGTCGCGTAAATATATGTCAACATGTAACCAATTGTTATCAAAATACCAAGTACTAGCTACGTAATAATTTATTGTATTACATACCTTTCATTATAGATCTTTTCACTTTAAAGAAGAAAGCTAAGAATTCTTTTTTAAGATAATATTGTTTTATTATACTTTCAATGTAATTTGCTGTCAAGATGGATACCACTGGTGACGATCAGGGCAAAAAACAGGTATTTTTTAATATTTACGCACATAAGATCTTAACTTAATTACTGTGATAATATTATCACAATTTGAGCAGGAAATGCACTATTTTTCATATACCATAAAAGCTTATGAGTATGCTGTTCAAATTATGTAGTAAATAGCACTTTGTACCTTCGTAGTGCAATCTAGGTTTTACTCGATTATTTGTTGTTTTAAACCAGTAACATCAATATACCACCGACAAACGAAGCTAAGGTATATACTGGAGTCAGCTGGTGGTCGGTAGGTCGGTCCGTCCGTTGCAGATTTCTTGTCCAGGACACAACTCTGTTTTTTTGTAGGTAATCGTTGAGTAGAAGTGCAGTGTGAAAGGACCGTGACACTGCCTTGCCAAATGTTTGAGTAATTGTCCTTTGTTTTATATTTTGAACTTTGTCCGGAACATGACTTTAAAACCACAAGGAGTATTAACAAAAAACAAATTGTTTGGACAACCCACGTGTCAACACAAAACTGTGTAAGTATATAGTCACACTGAGTGCAGTGCAGTTAATAAGAACCGTAACACCCTAACCCCAAATTTTGGCGTTATTGTCCTTTGTTCATTTTTTTTTACTTTGAATATTGTCCTGCACATAACTTGATAACTATAAAGGGTATCAACATGAAACTATGTAGGTAGATAGATCTATGTCACTGAGTTGAAATGCAATGCGGAAGAACCGTATTCCTTCCTACCCTAGTTTTGGAGTTGAAACTTGAAACTTCGTATGTTCCGGACATAACTTGAGAGCTATGAAAGGTATCAACATGAAACTATGTAGGTAGATAGATCTCACTGAGTAGAAGTGCAGACATCTCAAAGAGATAGAACAAATTTTCCTTAAAAGAAGTCATGAAAACTTCAAATCCAAACTTTAATTTACCTTACTGATGTAGAACAAATAATTAAAAAAGATTTGAGAAAAAATCTATACACTACTGCGTTCTCCATACGTGCAAAACTATTAACTAAAGAGCACGTTTTCTGACAAGTGCGTTACGGGTATATTTGGCATTTGTGACAATTTCTAGTTTATTATAAAAAAAAACACACAAAAAAAAACATTGCTTTGTTGTAGCTGTTTTGTATTTCAATGAAAAACAGGTGGATGTATTGATCGTTACTAACTGATATTTGCAAAAGTGTTGCGTCTTACAAATTCGATAAGTGACAAAACATTTTCTTAAACCAAAGCGAACAGACTATGTTATCGTTAATTATCATTCTAACAAAACATTTGAGCAAAGCATTTTACATAAAAGATATTTGTTGAAAAGTGAAATGAAATCGAGAATGAAAACCCTGAGAATTATACTTTTAAATAAAGATGAGTCGGTTGTGTATCAATCTTTTACCATTCCTTGCAGAAAATATGTGATCTAAAAGCAAATTTTGTCAAGCTTTGCAATCGTTTTGAGGTACGTTTAACCTTTCTTATATCTGTATTAAACAAGGTTCAATGTAATAAGTTACTTAAATTGAATCGATGTTATATTAATATAATAATACACTTTGATTTTATTTGTGCCACAGGATTTTACAATTGTAAAATACCAGACATCAATGACATGATGGTGCTAAATGTCAAGTTAAATGTATTTTGAAAACAAGAAAAAATCAGTTTCATCAACCCCCAAAATATTTATCAGATTGTTCATATCCTTCTGTGGCAATCAACACCACAGATAAAATGTTGACATTATATTATCTTTTTAGGGAACGTACAGCTCAATAGACAACGAAAATGACATTAAAAGGACCAAATATACGCACACGCTAGAAAGAGACAAATTTGTAAGTATTTTCTTTTTATCTTAGACATAAGCAAGCTAAGCGAAAATAAACACATGTAATTATAAAATGAAAAGTTGAATAATGGAATGCACTTCAATATAAATATACCAATAAATATGACTAAATAAATTAATTTTTTAATAACAAGAAAAATATTACATACATTCGTATGTAATATAGGTACGATTGCATACTACTTTTTGTGAAGATTTTTTTTAAGTTTGCTGCATGAAAGGTGTAATGTAAAATGAACATGTCATGAGATATAGCAACGGACCTATTCCTGGTTTTTTTGTGCAATGCGTATTTTATAACACTTGCAACAATCAATACCAAATGGTTCTATTGCATTTCTATAGTGCTAACAGGTTATAATACTGTTTAGAGATACCATAATATTATAAAAAGTGGAGATGAAAAGACCAGAGTTTTGAGAGTGAAACGTCTAGGGGTGAAACATCCAGGAGATGTAAAGTCCAAACACCTAGAAGAACTAAACACAGTGTCCATTTATTATTCATTTATTATTTAACCTTATTCTGACAAACACTTACTGTGACAACAGTTTAATACAACAGTAAATTAAATATGACTAAAGTGTAACAACATAAAAGGTAGTTGTACCAAATAAAGGACATCATTACACAAATACAACATAAAGGTAGCTAGCAACCGTGGAATATTTTTTTTTAATTTATTTTAAAAGTTTTCACATATTACTGTGCAAAATAAAGCTAACAAAGCAGCAGAAATAAATTAATTTTCAATAAAATTAGATTGTCTATTATTTACTTTTAAAAAATCTTTCATTTAAGATATTACATACAGGTTCTGTACACTTGACTAGTGATAGAAAGCCATGTTAATTTTAGCAGAAACTCAGTATTTTTGCCTGTATGTTATTGTTTACAATAACCAATAAGCATTTGATCAAATGTTAATTTCCATATAATATAATAAATATATCTATCTGCTGTATAACTGGTTTACTTAATACCTAAACAATTAGAAACAAGAGCTGTAGGTAGGGAGGCAATGCTGGACTATTATTAGTGCTTGACAGTAAAAAGGCCTCGATAATGTAAAATTTTCTAAGTTAACAAGGGAATAATTTTCCTTTAAAACCATGTTACAGTTAAGGCCTTGAAGAGAGTCCTATTATGCTCTCAAAGAAGAGTATAAAATTTCAACTTGTTTCAAAGCTAGATGTCAATAGAATTTGAAAATATCTGAGGTGGTATGCAAACTTAAATGTAAATTCTAAGTCGAAAAAAGGGGCATAATTCTGTCAAAATGCTTGGTACAGTTACCTGCTCCTGTCTATTTTCAAAGCCATATGTGAATGGACTTTGAAAATATTTGAGGTATTATAAAAACTTTATAACGTAAATTCTAAGTAAAAAAATTCTCTCAAAATGCTTGATACAGTCACCTCCTCCTGTCTACAGGTTGGGGTCATGATGGTGAACAATTGTGCAAATTTTCAAAGCCATATGGCAATGGACTTTGAAAATATTTGAGGTATATCATAAAAACTTCAACATAAGTTGTTACGTCTACACCGACGTTTGGGTGACTACAAAAGCTCTACTTATTTTAATCGAACAGTCAAGCTAAAATCAATCAGTGTTGCCAAGCAGCCACAATATATTCCATAATTTTGTTTTAAATTTAACAAATTTTAAGTGCACAACTGGCTATTTGAATGAACTAGAACTTCACGAGTCGGATGTGTCGCCTTGTGACAATGTAGTTTAGGAGAAATGGCCAGAACAAGAAAATTGCCAAAGGGCAATAACTCAAAAAATAAGAAGTGCAGAGCAGCATTTTCTTTGCACTATACTTCTTATCAATAAGATATATCATCCTATGAAGTTTCAAGTCCATAGCTTTTATAATTTATGAGAAATGGCCTGGGCAAAACAAAGTATGAAAAATTAATAAAGGGCAATATCTCAAAAATAAGAAATGCAGATGATTGGTTCTTGTACAATGCACATTTTTTATTGAGATCTATCATCCTATGAAGTTTCATGTCCATAGCTCTTGTACTTTAGGAGAAATGACCTGGACAAAAATAAAATATGAAAATTAACAAAGGACCATAACTCAAAAATTAGGAAGTGCAAAGTACCGGTCCTTGTGCACTGCACTTTTTCTAAATGAGATCTATCATTCTATGAAGTTTAAGTCCATAGGTTTTATAGTTGAAGAGAAATGGCCCAGACAAAATTAAAGTATGAAAATTAACAAAGGGCAATAACTCAAAAATTAAGAAGTGCAGAGTACTAATTCTTTTGCACTGCACTTCGGGTTATCATATATTATTTTGTTATAAATTTCTAAATTTCCAAATTTTACAGGCATGCAGGAGATTAAGTTCTGAAAGAGTTACAATGATATCAAACATACAGAGTCTTTTTAATTTTAAAATGTTCTTCCTGCTAAAAATCCTTTTTAACTGAAGGAAATTTTAGTCGCCTAGCTACCATGCAAATTTCTTTGATTTTGATGCTTCTGTTCAGGATTTATTTAAATTTTTACAAAGTCATTCTACACTAATATCAACATAAAAAATTAACTGATCTATCATTATCATAGATAAAATAGTTTTCATATTCTAAAACTATAAAATATTTAAAACTTGACAGCAAGTACTGAAGCTTATCACTTCACATTTTATGCAGTCATTTTCAATAAGATAAAGTCACACAAACAACTAAAACTGTTTATTTATCTTGAAATCAAGACTTTAAAAACTTATAAAGACAGGATTACAGTTAATCAATTCATAAAATGAATAGGTTCAATGCAATTCTATACTTTAAGTGACATGACAAATGTTGTATTTCACAAAACACAATCACATGAAATGTTTTAACATTATGGAAGTAAGTTACTGGTAAGCTGACATAGGCAACCGTTAATTAATATGATCCACACACTAGCCACACACTAGTCAATATAGCATTAGTCCTTAAGCAGCAGGCCTCAGGGGTTTTACTATTAAAATGACTTCCAATGGCTTTTTAGATCATTTATAAGCAGTGGGATATTGTGACCATGTCTTGACTGCAGGACAATACTGGCAACCTGTTGCATTGTTTCTCCACTTTCCAGAGCATGTTGAGACTGACACTTCCATGAAGTCCTAAAATACATATAAATTAGAAGTTTAAAAAAATTGTATAGGATATATAAATAGCACTTAAAATGAAACTTAAAACAAGAATGTCGAACGACACATATGCCCCTTTTCTAGCCCTTGACTCACATAATTGGTAGTTTTGTTACAGAAACTTGCCATAAATGGGTACATGGAAGTGTTCAATTATGGAAAAAAGAAAAATAATGGAGACTTTGTGATAAATAGTTTTCAAAAGATAATCAGATATTAGAAAACTATTGACCAAAAATCAATAGGGGCCACCAATCAAAATCAGAAATATGATGACCCTGTGACCTTGACCTTTGACCCAAAAATTACTATGGTTCATCTACTAATTATGATTAATCAATATGTGAAATATGACAACTTTGTGATGAAGACTTTTCAAGATAATCAGCTAAAACCGTTCTGACATTTAAGACCCCTGTGAGCTTGACCTTTAACAGAGCGACCCCAAAATCAATAGGGGCCTTCTACTAGTTATGACCAATCAATATGTGAAATATGACTTCTTTGTGCAAGGAATTAAATTCTTTGAACAAATTTTAAAGGTGACCACCAAAGGAACATTCCTGTGAAGTTTGGATGAAATTGGCTTAATGGTTTATGAGGAGATGTCATTTAAAGTAAAAGTTTACGGACGGACGGACGGACGCCGGACGAAAAGCGATCACAAAAGCTCAACCTGTCACTTTGTGACAGGTGAGCTAAAAAATGTATGGCAAAGGAACACATTTGACATTAGAAAATTACAAAAAAATACCTTTATATTTATAATATTCTTAATTTTTTTTTACAATATGCTCATGATAAAATATGTCAAAAAATGTTATGGCAAACTAACCTGATCCCTCTGCACAAACACAAATCGCATGGAACTTTCTTGGGGTCCTAAAATATATTGAACCAACATATTGAGAATAGGGAATTGGGATAGTGCACTTGCTGGGCATAATCCAAAGGGTAGGAGTACTCTACATCAAGAGTGCATGGTGGAGTGCCTGAAATGTACAGTAGTAAATTTATAAATTATGTATTACTGATATACAGCTTTTACAATTTATATAACAGATTTTGCTAAAGTCCCAAAGTTTTGCTGCCAATGTAATTCCTTTAATATACAGTCGAACTTCGTTCGCTCAAAGTCCGAGGGCCTGTGCAAATTTGTTCAAGAGATCGGTAGTTCCAGCCAACCGAGGTTGAACTATTATTACATAGAACAAAGGCCTCTAGGTTTTCAAACCTACATCTGTCAAATGATAAATACGTCAATATAATTGTTTGCTAGTACATTCATTTGTTGAATACGTCCTAGTTAGAATTATTATCCTATTGAAAACATATTTAACGGTCACTGTGTTAATCTTTATTCATGCATATTGTAATTGGTACGGTTCGATTGGGCAATCATTATCCAAACTGTGAACAATGTTCAAAATATATTTATATGTTTATTATGGGATGAAGTTTATTTTAAACAATGCATTTATTAAATATTAACAAAAGAACATCTTACAGCAGCATATTTTTGTAGTCATTTACTAAAATAAACACACGTACAAGTATCATTCTATAAATAGATTACACTGTTACAATTCACATTACATGAACCACGGATGTAATTAAAGCCGTCCAGGTAAAGTCATTCATTTATTGACTTTTGGCATTTCAGGGGTTATTTTCTTTTTATTATTACTAAAGACGGCAAATATACAATTTTATCATAACAAACAAATCGGTATCAACACCTTTTAATTTGTATCAGTTAACCTTAATTGCCCTTGTCACCATCACATGGTGTTAAAAACATGTGTCACGCCTGTCAATTATTTAGAACATGTCGACATGCAACTTTTGTTACCTGTTTGTGTTCAACCAAAAAGGTGTGATTTACACTATATTTCTTCCAAAGGGACCAGAGATCAGGTTCGAGAGTTCGAGCCATGGGTGTTCTAGCGATCCGAGGTAGAACAATACATATAATATAGGAATTTTGCCGGGACTCGGCGATGAGTTCGAGCGAAGGGAGGTATTCGAGCGATCCAAGCTCGAGTGAACGAAGTTGAACTGTATGTCCGTTCTAGAAAGCTTGTCATAGGGCTATGACTTTTCTTTAATCAAAATATTAGTTAAAATTCAGGCTTATAAAATTCATGAATGTGGTTCTAAGTGTCAACAAACATTTTGATATTTTGACGTGACATCATATGTTTATACAAACATAGTGCAACATAGAAGTTAGTGTAACACTATAGATGTGTCAATGAAATATTATTCTTTTCTGCTTGAACAGTCTGAATGCAGGATATGTGATTTATAGAATATTATATTAGTGTAGGTTAACTTAACCTTTTACCCCATTAGCATATTGCGAAAATTGGCCGTTTTCATCGAAAAGTCCCTGTAACAAGTTCAAACTGCTGTGTCTATGAAAAATGCTTCAACTTTATATAGTTAGGACATCCTTTAAAAATATGTTTGTTTGCAGTAACGCGACCGACTCACAAAATTTACACCTACTCAAAAATTTTTTTCATGGTCTGGATAAAAAATTATTTTTTTGAATCAGAAAATGATGCCTTGCGCTTTGTTTTCGTTCTTTTCAAGGTTAATAGAAGAAACAAAATGTAGGTCTTATTAAATTAGAAATCAGTTATCAATTAATTAATTGTTACCAGATTATCAAACCATATATTGTCCAGCATTTTGAAATTCCATGTTTATTTATTTATTAATGAATGTTCATAAGCGGTAGATGACCCCTATTATTAATTTCGAAAAATATTTATCACAAAGTCTTCATATTTCAAATACTGATTGGTGATACCTATTAGAGAACCCCTACTGATATTTGGTCACTTGTTCTCTAATATCTCATTATCTTGAAAACTATTTATCACAAAGTCTTCATTATTTTTCAGTTTTCCATAATTGAACACTTCCATGTACCCAATTATGGCAAGTTTCTATAAAAAAACCTACCAATTATGTTAGTCAAGGGCTAAAAAGGGGGGAATCAACTTACCTGCACAGTGCACTATAACCTTATCTTCATATGTTCTACATTTGCCAATAACACGCACACTTAACTATATCCCAATCTACCAATGTTCCAAATTTGCCAATATCGACTCTTCAACTCCACAAACAAAGCCAAACCTAAAAAGGGGGAAAAGAACAATAATTAAGGCAAACAATGATAAATAAAGGGACTGTCACAGGAACACAACACTACACATGCCTACTACCAGTTTTTGATGCAATTACTTTTTAACCTAAAAAGATAAGCATTTAATATACTTGTTACTATATATAGTAACAAAATTGCCTATGATTTCAACTGATTATGAGTGTCACGTGACCTATTATGAGTTTGCGGCCCGGGGCCGAGAACTAGTTATCAGCCCGCAGAACATGTGCACGTGCACAAACTGAAACAATGACGTCATATTTTACGTCATCAAACAGTTAACTTTAAAAGTGAAAGTAGGTTGTCAGCACGAATCGCTAGCTTAAGCAAATTTAGTACAAACACATTTTTGTTACTTATTGAAATTTGAAGAAATAATACGACAAATTCATTCCGAAAAAAATGAAAATAAAACTTGCTTCTTTGAACACACAAACAGTAAACATCTCTGTACAGAGCTGTAGACAAGAATTTCAACGAAAGAACTTCAAAGTATTTGTTGTTGTTTTTTGTTTTTGTTTTTTAAAAAAATGCTACTATTAGATCTACCAGGTGTATTAAAGACATTAATACATGTCAGAGTAGGGCCGGAAGGTGATAATCGGCCCTGAATGAATAATGGCCCTCGGGTCCATTACTCATTTTGCGGGCCAATTATCACCTTCCGGCCCTCTCCTGCCGTGTATTAACCTCTTAATACCTTGCTTTAAGGCTTTTGTGTTTCCAGACGTGCTAATTTACAATAAACTTTGCTTCCCAAAATTGGTAAAAAATAGAAACTTAAGATTTTACATTTATCGTTTCGAGCAACAATCAACTATATCTTTAACAGACTGTTGGATATTTTTTTATGCACACCAAATTTTCTTTCTTTCAACTTTAAATTTTTTTAGAAAAACAAATGCACATAAAAAATTCAGCCCCAATACATGAAATGTCCCAGGCATTTCCAATTCCTACTGAGATAGTAAGCAGCATGCCATCAACCAATTAAAATAATAACAATTTCTTGCCAAATATTAAGGCAAATGCATAATTTCTTTTTAATAAGAAAAAGTATTCATCAACAAGAAAAGCACACACATGCACAAGCACTATAAATGTTGATAGCAGCTCCAACCAAACCCATGATTTCCACAAAGAAAACAAATTACTTACCTGAACACTTCGTTATATCTGTGCCTCCCAACGCCTTAGTTGTGCCTATACCAATGCTTTAACTCCATAAACATATCTACATTTAATTTTTAAACTTCACAAGCACATTATGCCTAAAACAGGATAAAACAATCTATTAAATCTTAACCACCCAAACGTCCTAAATAGTGCTAAACAAAACATGTGTCACCTTTATATAAAATAACATGTGTCTATTATCTACCCAACTTTTGTAACATTTTCCTTTAATCAAGGAAAAAGCATTTCTCCACAATAGCCACGCATGGCAAATTAAATTGAAATAATTTCTTCTTTCACAAATATGAAGGTAAATACCATTTTCACATGTTTGAATCTGATTTCAGGTTCCCCCCTTTTCTAATTTATTGCCCTATCTTTTCCCCTACAAAAAGTCACAGGCACTCCATGCGCCGACGTCACTGACTATACTGCTACCGACTGAAGATAATTATTTATTTTTCCCCAAAAAATCTGTTCCCTCTAGCATTAGTTCTTAAATAAATTCTTAACCAAGATGTCAAATGTTTAATAAATAGTTTTTGTTCTTTTCATTAAATAGGAACAAAAAAATATACCCAAAAACTAATAAGGAAATGCAACAAAAGGGAAGTAATTTGGGCTTCTCATTAGGAAATTGTCATGACATTTCATAGTGTGCACACAATTCTGTTGCAGTGGTTTTCCCCTATACAACTGATACTGGTAAAAAGGCAACGCTCCCAATAGAAAATAGACAAGTAATTCCCAATCCATGACCGATAAATCCCCAGGACAACACTGAAAATTTCCTCAAAAGAATCATCAAATTTTAAGGTGGACATAAACAGAAATACCATTGTTAAGCGATACTGTATGCAATAAAAACCAAGTATATAAGGTTATACATGGTTCCACATGAGTGATATTTCCTGAAACATTATTTTTTCCTATTGAACTAAATCAAATAAAATATTTTTATGGTTTAAAATATTAACTTTCTCAGTTTTATCAAGGATAACCCACCAATTGCAGCCAAAAATAACCAAAAAAATTGCCGGAAACTGCAAGCAAAATCTCAACATGGAGGTTGCCATTTTTTTTCTTGGCTATATCCCGTACTGAACGGTACTATTTCTGGAAATCAGTTGCTAACAAAATATTGCCATTTTCTTGGTTATTTTTTTAAAGTAAGATATTTTGTATTTCTTATTATGAAAATGACTTGTATGGAGAAATAGTGTGTCACAGAAACACTATTACACCTATAGTAATTAGTATGCCGCATTAAATTTCATACAATAATGTAAGTATAAAAACCATTCACCACCATACATAATAAGATGTTACACCACAAAGATTATTTTGCATGATGATAAAGTTTTTCAGGGGAAAAAAGATATATTATAGAATTATTAACCTCATAATTTTCCTCAAATCGACATTTTTCGCATATCTTTCCCCTCCCTACCAGCACCCAGCATCTTCCCCTTTCCGTAAAAAAACCCTGAATTGTAAAAGGAATAATTTTGTACTGTGCATCAAAACAAGTTTGTTGACATTGATTTCCCATGTGTGTAATTAGATAAAATGTGTATTAACTGTGAAGAAAGCAATGCATTCCTTGCATATATTTATAGCATACAGGGGTACATTTGTCGTAAATTCAGAATTATTTCCTTCCAATTTCCTTTGCCCACTTCATCTGCTCTTTGCACAACGTACTGTTCAAACTGCATTGGCCGCCAAGGAACAAACAGTGTAAACAACAATTACATTTATTTCCATAAAGATTCAATTTAAAGATCACTATTCAACATTTATTGTCTCAACTTGAACATCTCTTCTTAACAAAGATAATTTCAAGGAACAAACAGTGCAAAAAACAAGAACATTTATTGTCATAAAAATTCAATTTAAAGACCAATATTCAATATTTATTGTTGTGACATCTCTTCTTAACAAAGATTATTTCAAACAACACGTACGTGTTCACTGCCAACTTTTTCAATTTCTGTTGGTCATGCGATCATACCTTTGAATACTTCTATAGTAATTCACTCCTAAATTTTTTTCATAACAATGTTAACAATCCATACTGAAATAGGTTTCTAATAGAAGGCAGAGTTGACCTGGTCCGAGTTAGTGTAAGCCCAAGTTGACCCTTTGCCGCAAAAAAAACACACAAAGGCCATGCCAGCAGCAATTTCTCTCCCTTTAAGAACCCCAAGTTAGCCTCCTGGTTTCGACGGAAAAGCTATAGCAAAAATTTCTTATTTGATGAGCAATTTAAGATCAAAATATTTAGGAAACTGCGCAATCTAAAGTTTAATGTATACATTGTATTTCCTTATGAAAGAGACCATTTATTGAAAGCCACATTTGAGTTTGACGCCTGGTTGATGTAATGACTACTTCCCAACTACTGAGATTATGCAGCCACAATCCAATAACTTCAACGACAGAATTTATGAGGACGGTTTTTAAGTTTTATATTGAGTGATGAATAAAGAATGAAAAAAGATTGTTGTTGTTTATTATCTAAAAAAAACATAGTAGATTCTCTTTAATACTATGCCTGTATCAATTGTTTATATAGAGATGAATAAAGTATTTTAAATATTACGTACAAAATCATGACACAAATATTCTTAATTTGGATTTTTAGAAAAATATTTTTACATTTATTTTTTGTATGCCTTGTTTTTGTGTACTGTATATATAATCAGATTATAAAATACATAATTAATTCTTTCTCTTCCACCAGGTTTTACTTTTCTGTGTATAATGTTGATTTTATTCCCATTGATAACATTTGTCCTTCTGTTTAAGCTTTTACCATTTGTGGATACAGTTCAACATAGATTAAGAAAAATGTTTTTTATGTTTTTACAGACTTCACTTGATCTATATTTGTGTAAATTTTAAATCATTTTTCTTTTTTCAGGCTTCACGTTTATACGTACATCACTACATGTATCTATTTTTATGTTGTTGTTTTGTTTACTGAGATCTTTTGTGTTGAGTTAAGCTTTATATGTAAAATATAACTACTATACTAAATAAAAATAATAAATATAAGGTTTATATATTTTTTATAATTTCCAATATCTTGTCTTTAATTGCATGAAAAATGTGTGAGAAAACAACAGACTTAGACCCACGATAATTGACGTGCCCATTATACATGTCCTTGAAAATGCGTGCTTCTCTCCATTTTGTTAAGATGAATTGTCTTAATATTATTTGCATGTGTATGCTATGCCTCTTTATGTAATGTAAGTTTACATGCTATAGCTCATATTGGCATGTGTGTACATGAATTGAGTTCTGAAATATAAAATTAGTTCGCCGAACCGGTAGATTCTAGTTCGACGAAACAACTCTCGCCCATTTATTTTATATTGTCAATGCTACGTAAGTTTAATGCACAAACTATTTACTACTTGAAATCACTTTATAAAAAATATACAACCTTCAGAGCAGGCAACACACAGATATATACAAACAATAACAAACCATCCATTTTTCCCCGCCAAAACGGCCAGCCAGCTTGTAAATTAGGTCACCTAGTCATTCTAAATCATAGCTAACACGAACTGCCAATTGAAAATCAAGCAGATCATTAAATAAATACTTATCTACAATATAAATAAAGCATAAAAAATCAATACTTACAGTTTAACCTTGCTTGATACATTTAAATTATCGCTCTGAAATAAACCCTCTCTCTTCCTGAATGGCTGTCTGTTTGTTGATGTTTTTTCATTGGCTTACATTGTCACGTGATCAAATCAACAAAGGTGTGGACTAAGTTATTTCCATTGCAGTTCTGACTTTAATTGTTTTTATCACAATTTAATCCCCGAAAAAAATATGTTGAAACAACTCCAGAATTACCACAAATATTAAAATTATCGAAAACATTAAATGTTATATAAATTGTAAATTAAGGTTTCACATTTCACCCCTAAATAAAACATAATGGACTCAACCAAAAACAAGCGTCTCTCTCTTTATTTAATGGTGTATTTACATGACCATGATCAACACATAAATCTCTAGACCAACTCTAAGACGGGCTAACACGTAAACCTATTGTAAAAATAATACTATGACCACAGCAGATTTCGTACAGAAAAAGGAAAACGATATTGATCACCTATTTACTCTTTTAAGCAGATACTAGATGCGTCGTGAGTTATTCTAAAGGTATGGTAACAGAAGAAATTTTGTGTGAATAAATATGAGTGATTAATATTTCATGGTCTTGAAAAATATCAAATTTAATTTTATAGATGCTAAAGGAGAAACGTCCAGTTGCCGATCTCTGCAACATATTTGAGGTAACCATTATACAATTGATCAAATTTTGTATTAATAGTATTTATACTGACTAATGAATCTGGAAAAGGGGAGATCCTTCGAAACTAATAAAATAACAAAATTACATAGAAAACGTTTATAAGAACATGATGGTGACTGAAACAAAATATCATTTTGATTCTATGTACTAAACAACACCAAACACAAGAGCAAAATGTTCAAAGAATTTTGACATTACTGTTTGATATCAAGTAACAAGATATATAAGGTGTTTGGTTGATTTGTTGTAGTGTTTTATTATCTTCCACGAGTTTAACATGTATTTCGTTGTGGACAATTGGATAACCTAAACAATGGTATTATCAATGATACAATTTGGATATAGGCCAGGACACCAAGGCACAGTTTCCTTTATTTTTGATATTCTATTTAAAATGTGTATGTTCATATGCATTCAAAGGCAAATTATGCCTAATAAACGAATAGTTTTTCTTTGTTTAGAAAGAGCACACATAAATTTTATAATATACAAATAATGGTTTTATCACATAATAATATGGAAGTAAAATGAATGTTGTTTATTAGGTAGATAACTACAAACAAAGTAGTTTTTTGACTTCCATACAAAATAATAAATCACTATATCTGTACTAATTGTCAAACTGGGACCAAAATTAAAAGCTTTTGAGAAAAGAAAATAATAGCATTTCTGGGGTACAGTGAACCTTTTAAAAATTAATACTGTTTTTCATCCCTTTTCCAAGTACGTTGCCTTGTTTTTGATATATATGTACGCTGACATGAACTGATATATATATTACAAATTGAAATCTTGTTTATAATTTCAGGGAAAAAATAAACTACCATATAAACAGTCAAGAACATTGCAAAAGGAAACACATAATGATAGTTCTGAAATAAGTGTGCAGGTACGTCATTGCATATAATTTTTCGTTCAAAAGACGAAAATGAAGAAAGATATAACTTTACTTCCTCATCTCAACATCATTCTCGAAAATTTACTTTATGTACCTAAGATAGGCACTCTAAAACTTTTTATATAGCTTATTGAAGAGGAAAATGTAATTCATAATTTATTGACTATTGTTTAATTTCTATAAACATACTAGACATAACGAAATATCACATGCATCTCTTTCCATGGTAAATTTCATTTTCAGAATAAGAATGGAAGTGAAAAAGGAGATGAAAGTAGTTTTCAGAGACTTGTGGACGAGATAGATGCTGTAACAGAAGACATGACTGTAAATCAAGAAGTGGAACAGTTAGATGAAAATAGAAACAACCAAGTACGTTTATCAACACCTACCTTCGGTATTTCAGATGTAACGGATACACACAAATTTGCAGTCCTCAAAGAGGTAAGAGGTCAAGAAATATCAATTGACATAGATTTCGTGGAAGTCGGGGTGTTAATGACTTGATTTGTATCTTTCGTATCCAGGCCAGAAATGGATATTGAACGAGTAAAATACTAAACGTATTATCTCTAATTTAATTTGGTACCCCTTGTGGGCAAAAAGGAATTTATGCACCAGATTTGCAGCCACTGTGTAACCCTGCGTGATCGTAAGAAGCGACTAAATGGGTTCGAATAATTGAAGTCTATGCATTTCTTATCTCCAGCAGGTGAGATGGTTTAAAACTCTTGATGTTGCCTTAAATTGTACCGCCCATGGTTAGCCAAATGCATCTTTTCTGTTCTGGTGCCATATAACGTAAACTGCTTTGGTGCGCCGTAAATCCTAAACAAACAGTATTACAAAGTAACATAAATCAAAGTACAGAAGTACAGGTGTGCTGGTCGGCTATCTTAACTTATACCTAACTGAGACGTAGCATTAACATATCTTACTAAAAACAATATTTAATCAGTTCAGATAGTTCATGCGAATAAGCACTAGCCTCAGCAAACGTTAAGAGAATGTGTGGACATTTTGTTAGTTTTGAAAGAGAACGATCATATAAATACCGGTAACGTAGATCATGATGCCTTAAAAATTTATAGTTTAGCTTGAACAATTCTTTAAACATCTCAAAAATTTTCAAACAAAACTTTTGTTTTCAAATTTATATTTTTGGAACATTTGTAAATACATGTATATAGTAGGCTCTATTTCATAATTTAAATTTATATTTATTTCATTAAAATACTAAGGTAATTATAGTAATATGTTTACTGGAAAAAAATTATTATCCCCCTATTGCTATCTTTATGTTTAAAAAAATGCAATGTGTATACAAAGGATATATGAAATAATTTCTTGAAACCCTAAAGATTAAAACTACTGTTTGAAGTGAAGCTACTGTTACTTATTCGCTTATTATATAATTCAATTGTGGAAACTATTTTGTTTACCTATTGTTATTACACTTATATTAGGATACCTTACGGTCTTTTGATTCAATAAATCGTTTAAAAGGGCATGCTACCTCTGAAATTGACAATGTGGGGTCAGAAAATAAAACAGAACCTATCGGACATGTATCTGACGAACAACACTTTAAAGATGAAGATTCTACGTATGATGTTCATATGAATATATTGAAAAAAGTAGACAGTGATGCTGAAGATGAAACATTTAGAAAACAAGAGGAACTCACTAGGCTTATCCCTGAAATAAAGGTAAATGAAGCCACAAAAATATTAATAGGACTACGCCCTTGAAATAAAAGTAAATGAAGGTACAAAAACATATATTGAACTTCATCCCTAAAATAAAGATAAATGAGGTCACAAAAATAGGCATAATCCTTCGTCCCCGATATAAAAGTAAATGAGGTCAGAAAAATATTTATTGTTCTTCGTCCGGTAATCGAGAATAAACTTATAAAATACAAATAGCAAATGTTTGATCAAACGAAAGGTAAAAAAGGTCAAATATCGCCCAAGTAGGACAGACGATAAAACAAGCTGCTCTTCGTACAGCACAGACAAAGAACCTACATATTTTTACAAAAATAATGCAAAATTTATATAATGACTTCTTGAAAGTGATAGAGACTCTTATATTTTACCTTAATAGTTTTAATTTCATGAATGTGACAAAGAAATTGTATTCGTGTAACTCAATAACTATATTTATTGAACACGAATGAATAAATATATTTGTTTTTTATATTATTATAAAGTCGCATGATATCAGTTTTTATGTGCCCGTGCAATAATTTCTGTATTTAGAGCTTGCATGTTATGCTGCACGGCTTTGATTTATTTTCAGCAAAATGAAGACCAGTGTACAGATGTAGAAAGAACGTCTAAAAGAAAGGTATGTTGCACCTTTTTGTATGTCATTAACTTGTTTTAAACAAATTGCATTCAGTGGCCAATAAATAAATTAACGTTTCAGTGCCTACGGACTATTTTAAAGATTTTATGTCTCTCATTAACAAAGTAACTGTTTATTAAATTGGGACTGTTTTGTTTTTAAATTGTTGTTGTTATTGCTAATGCTGCTGCTGCTGCTGCTGATGATGATGATGATGATTATGATTATGATGAGGATGAGGATATTGAGGATGATGTTGATATTGTTGATGTTGTTGTTTTATTAATTGCTCAATTTTATTTTTAGTTTCGCCACAAGAAAAGATTTCATACTCGGAGTTCAACAATTGACTCAGGTATACTATTCGCATCGTTAGGCAGTGAAGAGACGACAGAGAACGGCAATAAGAATAATTTACACTATATGGTAGAGGTTTATCGGCCCTGGATTAAGCATCAGATCAATGTACTGGATGTTTTAAATCTACTTTCGCTAGGTATTTTTTACATTTACATGTACATATTTTGCATTTACGTCTATGTTTTTGTTTATAAGTATCGGAAATTTATATAAAAGTGTTCATAAGTTTACTTATCCAGTGTTCAGAGTTGTCTCCTTCAACTTACATATCTATCAAAGATAAATTACTGATTAATGTCCTATTTTATTTATTTATTTTATCTTAGAATTAATAACATGTAGTTAAACATTGAAAGCAAAAACCATGCATTTAATGGTTGTAATTTTTTCAGAGAGAACGATGACATTGATGTTGTTAAAAGCAAGGCTAAGTCGTGTCCTCCTGATGCTGTAGATTGCATGCTCAACATAATGGCAAACTGCGAAATTCCTGGAATATGGCAAAGATTTATTGATGCGCTTGAAAGACTAGGTAATATTTCAAACAAGGTAACGTTAAAATTTCAACTTTTTGTTATATAATCTAACATATCTGATATTATATTTGTTCAAAAGGTAGGCGACAAACCAAATTACAAATCGTTATCACCAGGTTTAGTAACAAATTTATTGACTGAACTCGATTTTTGAAATAAAAAAACAATCATATTTAACAAAATGATTAAATGTCGTAAGGAAGGGGAGGGCATAACATTATGCTGCAAAACTTAGTTGATCAATATATGAGCATGAAGTACGAGGGCGGGTATCTGTAATTAAATTCAAAATGAAAAAGATTTTCTAATTAAGCTCGTGATTCTTGTGTCTTTTTGTAATCTATGCTATGCATATGATGTCAAATGGTATCAAAATCTGGTATGTAATCCTTCCTTAAGAATTATATTCACATTTAAAATATTACTTTACATAAGTAACTTCATGTAAAATATGCCTTGAAATCGCTTTGTCAAAACTGCTGAAATACCACTTACAATAAAGCTCCAGCAAAATTAGCAATTTTTGTTATATTCATGGCAATGATAAAGTATCTTATGCAACTGTTTTGAGGTGGATGGATTAATTCAAAAATGGTCACGACTAAATTGAAGATGACGGTAAGTCAGGTAGTAAACGTTTTATATTACTGTTACTAACAAAAGCATTCATTAAGCCAAACTTATTATTGACAAAGATTCCAGACTTTCACCTTCATAGAAAGCCTCTATCGCAGGAATATCAAAAGAGTCAACTTATACGATTCTGAAGAATCACTTGAAAATAGGCAAATACGGTACGTGCACGTCGTTGAGAGGGCATAGGGCATCGGTAGATGATTGAAGATCTATTAGAACGTGTGAGACGGCAAGTTCGAATGTTCTCTACAGCTCGGGGTTGCGAATAAAGCATAGTCTACAACAATTAACTGTCAATTATCTGACTAATGCCAACGGGAATGGTCCCACAAAGTAGGCATAGTCGAAGGGGAAAATGTACTAGATTTATGTGTTCATAGTTCGAATGACGGCTTGAAAGGCAGGCCATTTGCATGTCACAAACAGCCCTTTTAAGGGTTACCTTCTTTTCTCATGATGACTCAGGTTACTGTACAATTTTGTTTTCATTGACCGCCGTACAGTGACCTACTTTTTACACAAAATTCATATTTTAGGCTTATTCGCTGTGAAAATTGCATGGATGTAAATAATCAGCACTTTTTGCTCCAAAGTAAAGCCTTAAAGGGCATGACTGGTAGCATGTTCTGGGTCCGTACACGACAGCGAAAGCTGCTTTTTTGTGCCTTAACGGGCGGACCCTATACATACACGCACGCACGCACCAACACACACATACACACATACATACATACATACATTCATACATACATACATACATACATACATACATACATGCATGCATGCATGCATGCATGCATGCATACATACATACATACATACATACATACATACATACATACATACATACATACATACATACATACATACATACATACATACATACATACATACATACATACATACATACATACATACATTAAATATAACAAAAGCCGTTCTTTATTATGATGTGATTAATGTAAATAGCTAATTTTACTATTTTTCGCTAGTTTGCAAGTGGTGCAACTATAAGAAAATGACCACAAAAATGTTCTTCGACCATGCACTGCCAAGCGATTGACAAGTGGCAATCAAGCTATGTCCGTTGTTTTTTTACATTACCCAAGGAACTGTAGCCCTATTCCTGTTTCTAGAGGCCGATCTGTCGCATCTGAGAAATATAAAGGTGTCGTGTTAAGAAAAATGCAAAATTTTACTTCGACTGGAATGAAAGCCCTGTATTTGTTGTATGACAACGCTCTTGCACACAAAGGGGCTATTGTAATTGATTAATTTCAAATATAAATGAGTGACAGTCCTTAAACATCGACCGTATTCTCCAGCACCTTATTATCTTTTCATCTCTCTTGGATTGAAAATCATCTTTCAGGTCATCACTACAAGAGTAGAATTGGACTTGGGTCGTTCATTGCTCAGATATTGAAAGGTTTACCTAAGGAGGGGGTCTATGCTGAAGCATCTAAAACTTTGTGTTTCTGTAGAAGATTTTTTCGAAGGGTTGAGTGGCGTGTGACAGCTGTGAAAAGTTGCCTCGTCCTTCTTTCCCATATTGCTACATTTTTCTGGTCCTTTGGGATAATTTTTTTCAACACATTTTTAGTGTTGAAAATTGAGTATCGCTCAACCTGGTGCCAGGAGGCGTGAGGGACGTTATACTTCTTTTATTATCTCTGATGTACAGACTCAGTCAAACTGTGTCAGCAAATCTCATGTTATTTTGTTGTTTAATGCTTCCGAGGGATAACCCTTGTGTTTTAAATAGAATATTGTAAAAACAACTGGTATTTTATTAAATTTATTGACCATATTGCATCATATATTGACCTAACCTCGTAATGATGCTGTTCATCCAATAATACATTCACATTTTACATTTTCGAGTTTACTTGTTTTAAGTTAAGGCTATTAATAATTAAAAACATTATATTATCTCGGTCAATATGACATTTTGCTGGTGTATATTACATCATATTTAATGGCTCACTTGTCAAAAACTGTATAAATTATAGAGGATATTGAATGAGTTAATGAATTTATTGAACGAGTTCAATAAAATTATATATTGCAAAATTCTGGCGAGCATCGTATTGATTTATTCAGTGAGTTCAATTAAAGTAGTATAATCTGATCTAAGCGTATCTACCAAATTCTAGCCATCAGGCAGTGACTAAGAAGTCTACCGAAATCTAGCAATCAGCCAGTGCCTCAGAGGTCTACCAATATCTTACGTCCAGTCAGTACCTCAGAGGTCAACCAAAGTCTAGCAATCAATCAGTGCCTTAGAGGTCTACCAATATCTTACGTCCAGTCAGTGCCTCAGAGGTCAACCAAAGTCTAGCCATCAATAAGTGCCTTAGAGGTCTACCAATATCTTACGTCCGGTCAGGGCCTCAGAGGTCTACCAAAATCAAGCCATCAATCAGTGCCTCAGAAGTCTTCAAAAATCAAGCCATCAATCAGTGCCTCAGAAGTCTTCAAAAATTAAGCCATCAATCAGTGCCTCAGAGGTCTAGCAAAATCAAGCCATGAATCAGTGCCTCAGAAGTCTACAAAATCAAGCCATCAATCAGTGCCTCAGAAGTCTACCAAAATCAAGCCATCAATCAGTGCCTCAGAGGTCTACCAAAATCAAGCCATCAATCAGTGCCTCACAGGTCTACCAAAATCTTGCTATCAGTCAGTGTCTCAGAGGCCTACCGAAATCTATCGATCAGTCAGTGTCTCAGAGATCTACCAAAATTAAATCTAGCCATCAGTCAGTGTCTTAGAGGTCTATTAAAATCTAGCCATCAGTTAGTGCCTCAGAATTCTACCAAAATCTAGCAATCAATTATTGCCTCAGAGGTCTACCAAAATCTAACATCCAGTCAGTGCCTCAGAGGTTTACCAAATAAGATTATAGGGTAATTTCAATTAATTGATTATGAGAATAAAACCATGTGTTTCAAACCGAGTAAAATATATATGATATAATGTTGGCTATTCGAAGCGAATGCGTTTGACATACCGTACAACACAGATTACACATCGAACAAGCCTCGTACTTAGATTAATATGCATACTCAATTTAATACAATAGTGTTTGATAAGATCAGACATTAAAAATAAAAAATGTTGACTTGTTTATTTTAGAGTATATTCATCTGTCACAACTTTTAAAAAATGAGACAGAAGTTCATCACAGTCACAGCTCTGCAATCCTTAAACTTGTCACAAATGATCTTGCACAGCGAATATGCTTTCCAGAGTTTTTGGATAAAGTTTACGAACAGGAATTAATTACCTCGGCGGAACGCGAAGAGGCAGATGCTGTTTTGGAGACGAAAGGTTCAGAAGCTGCCGCCAGAGTGATAATAAATTATGTCGATAAACATTTACCTATGTGGGATGTATTATTTGCTGATATACTTGATCAGTCTTTTATGCCGGACATTGCAGATTTGTTTAAAATGATTGATCAACGACCATCTCAGACACGTGGTAAAGCGAATTTTGGTTCCTAATTATACATTGTAAACATTACATTTGAAGGAGTTTCCCTAAGGTCGATGAACATAAAAACATAAAATTTGAAATGTTTGTATAGATCTTGTGATGCACTTAAAAATGAAAAAAAAAAACTAAAACGATATAAATGGAACATACTAGGAATTATATTCAAGATCGAACTGTTGCTCAATTTATATTTTTTTAACATTTTGCGCAACAAAAAAATACAAATTCCTGGAAAAAGGAATGAGAGAATGATTAGAAATTTTGCGTCCATATCTTTATCAAATGGCACCCAATTATTGAGAAAAAATTGCCAGTTCCTTCAAGTCAAACAAGTCAAACAGCCTCAGTAAAGACCTTTTAATACTTTTAAATTTCAATTTGTTTTAATGGTTCTGAGTAAGTAAATACTTGTTCAACATACCTTTTGCTATGTGGTAAACAGATACAAACGACTTCAAGGATTTCTTTTACAAATAATATATTGTAAATAGATTATAAATCTGTAAGAATGACATGTCAGATGTTACTCTTTGATTACTTAGTTGGTTAATTTTATATTTTAGAAGAAATAAGATCAGATAGCGTCCGGATAAAGGCTCCTTCAATAACTATGTTTACAGGACTAGAAAGCAACAGCAAACACTTTACAGTACCGATATGCACAACAGCACGGTGTCTAATATCAAAATGTAAGATTTCAACGCATTGTGTATAGTAGTTTCAGAAATACAGACACACGTAAGAAAGCTGTTAAATGATTTTGATGAATTAAAACATCAGCACAGACCAGATGTTTGAGAGACATGCTTTCAATAATAAATAAATAGTTACCGACAAGAGAGTAAGCAATTAAAGAAGTGTTCATGCTTTGACCATACAAATTCACCTTTAAATGGAACATTTCACACGATCCATTAGATATAAGGAATTTTGGGACTGAAAATAAAATCTTTACAAAAATAGATTTTGAACTTTGAATTCACAAAACGGTTTCCTGAAATATGTACCATAACATGTAGTGTAAGTTATCGAGCGGTCACACAAGGTTTAAACGCTTTATTGTTATTTATTTTCCCTTTCTCCCAATTGATCGTGATCGTTTACTTTACAGTAACCATCCGTATTGGTTATGTTGATCTTCATCAAAACCTTAGGTCTCGGCTTATAGAACGTCAAGACTAAATGCAGCAAATAAATCTCGTCAGTAACCTATATAACAACTGATATAATCATGTCCAATCAGGATTTGATTAGCGTTTTTGGACTATGAAAATGAAGACAATGCTTCATGGAGTACAATATGCATTTGATAAGGATTTTTTGACGCAGAAAATTGAAACTAGGCTAAATTGATTGGATTAACAAAATAATATTTTATTATGAAACATCACGTGGTTCAAACGCTGAAACTTCATTAGTTACATCATGTAAGGTGTAAAATAAATACGTTTATTCAGAGTCGCAAGTGGAAACCCATATAGGCAAACTTACTCTAATTCCAGTAGATAAAGCATTCACTACATTACTTGAGAAAAGGGTCGATTCTTTGACATGGAAAGGTATAATCCAACATTATATTGATCTAAGGCTTTTAAAGTCTGCTCAAATGACATGTTAGCCATTTTGAAGGACCTTACTTGCGTCCTTAGAATTATAAACTGCCCCCGCTCTATGGGTGTGAGGCGTAGCGCCATGATCAAAAAATGGCGGTGGACAATCTTTGATGTTAAATGTAGTTTTGGGTAAATCTGGAAATAATTCTCTAATCAAAGTTATTCATTGAGACACTGCTACAGTAGTTCTCTATATATAAGCCGAAAACTTTCTATAGATTATAATATGAAAAATACTGAGGACATACTAATAAGACAATATCGTGATAAATTGTCAAATTCATCATTAATTTAAGTGTGACTCAGTAAATTTGGTTCTAAAAAGTAAATTTGACATTGCAGATGGAAGAAAGCTCAATATCTAGTCCTTGTAATAATAATATGTTCAGAGTATAGGTATTTGTGTTTTCAGCAAATAATTACCATTTTTGATACACAAGTCATCGCTTGTATCTTTGATGTTATTTAAAGTAATCATAAGTTATTTTCAGGAATGTCAACCAAACTAAGGTGCTTGATTTCCATTTATCCGTCCGTCTATATGTTGGCAGATTATGTTTTATATGCCTGCTCTATAACACTTGAACCACTTAAAGGTATCCCGATTATTTGGGCAATATCTCGTTTGATAGGGGTAAACTTAACTGTTTACATATACATATACAAATGTATATACATATATAACACAATGCTGACAAACATTGATCACAGTCAAGAATTTTCGCAAGATGGGTCTCATCTCTTCTTTTCTATACCCGTTTTTTTGTGAAAATAGAAAAAAACAATAAAGAAAAAAAGCATAAAACGTCAAACTGAAAACGTTCCAAAAATGCTTTTGAGAAATAAAACGGATATCATTAATTGCATGGTATTAATTTGAGTTATACATGTATCCTGAAAGCAATGTCTATAACATTATTATACTGCTATCACTATGTTCAAATCTCCAAACCATAAAATGACCAACACTCTTCTTTGGGGAATAAGCGATCAAAGTCTTATGAAATAACTTGTGTACAAATTTAAGATCGTTCGCTCAATCCGTATTTTTTAAGGATTGTCATTTTTTAAGTCTGCCAAATGACTATTAATTGAAAAAAACGTTTAAACACTTTCAAATCAAATCAATCTAATAACTACACTAATTATTGATTATCGATCTAATGCATAACTTGCATTTCTGAGCCCAAACTCTACAAACTTTATGTTTTATGCGTTTTTGATACCATTGGTGCTTGTTATATATACACAGAACAGAGGCAGTTGTTCATAGTCCCAAATTAACATAAAATGATTAAAGGTGTAGCACAGCGAGAGTCACCAGGTATCCTGAAGCAACATAAAATAAAGAACTTACACTGTCATGTGCATATGTAATGGCGACCATAACAAAAGTATGCAAGAAATATATCCGTTATTACGGTACTGAGATGACGACATGATGTCATAATATACACATTAAAACTTGACTTTTTCCATAAAAATACCCCCATCCCCCTCTCCATCCCCCATTCTCTACCACGTATTCTCTCAACCTACGCAGATGATAAAGATAATTGCAATACATGAAATGCTTGTTGTAACAGATTGTTTTATAATTATTTTATCTTATTTTTTTTTCCTTATATCTTGATTACATTTTCAAATCAGTGACAGAAAGACGTGGCTATACATTTCTGAAGTATCAGTGGATAAGGATATTTTCTCGTTTTGTCATTTTGGAACTGTTTAAGGCTCATTTTCTACGCTTTATTGATACTAGAAATATTTGTCTTGATTGGAAGAAACTAAATTCAAAGGTAAGCTGTAATTTATCGTAACTTTGTTATTTAATTCATATTGTTTTTTTGCAATATCTTAAGTTTTTATTTTCACCTTTCACACATGCTTATGTTTATCTAATAGGGAGATTCACAATTTCAAGATTTCATCAGTAAAAGTGTGGTTTGCAAAAGTTTTAATTTTTTGTTTCAGCCTGGAAAAGGTTTTTATATATGAATTTTTATTTTACACAAAAATGTTTTGAAAAAAATCTAAGTATCACCTTTTCCTTAAAAATGTTAATTCTGCTAAATTTTCTACCGATATAGAGTAAACTAATATGTTTGCAAGTTATTAATTTCATAAATAAGGTGGATTGGATCCCCTTTCTCCGTCCTTAAAAAGAAAAGAAGATAAAGATATTAATTTATAAAATGCATTTTTTTACAAATAATTCACAAGTAGGCATATATTTAGTTCCCAAAAAATTGAGAAAATAAAATTCCGTGCTAGGAAAAATTAAATGCCTGCCTTTACGAAAATTATCTAAGTACGATTTAATTCGACTTGCAAATTGCTTTTGATATGTGACATCTTTGTTCAATTTATTATTGTGTTGTATAGATTAAACATGCTTGAAACGTGGCAATTTTCTGGTGAATCAAAACAAAATGGAAATAAGATAATTTATCATAATTGATAATTATTCAAAGAATTATAGAATTATTATAAAAAAAAAATATTGTTCGGTTGCAACTTTCCGGCCCGTTCGTTTAAGTGGCATTTTAATAGTTTTCCGGAGAGGTCACGAGTCATGTTTTGTTTTCTCTTTGTTGTTGTTGGTGGTGGTTTTTATGCGAGATTTTCAGTAAAAAATGTAAATTGATACCTCTACCCCACCCTCATATTGATTCTCAAATGATTTAAGACTTTGCAAAGCACTGATGGTTTTAATCGCTGTGATTTTCAGTACCCCTATATGCATTGAATTATTTTATTTAACGAAACATACCGGATATGCTGCTCGTTCATAAACTACAGTAAATTCACGGAATATAGTGGTTATGATATTTCATGCTATTGTCACAGAAACATTTTCTTCGGTTCTTAAATTCGTGAATTGTATACTTTTGCACACAAAAAAAAATGATTGACGCAAATTGTGTATTGTAATGCAAAATAATCTTAAAGCAGACGATATGAATTTCGTTAAATCTTAAATTCTTGGATCGGCCTAGCCACAAAAACCACTAAAATTATCCCCCACGAATAGTTTTAAATTTGTCGTATAATGTAAAAGAGTACTATAGGTCCTCCTCATGTGTAAAGGTAGAAGGTCTCAGAATGACATTGACTGTGCCGGAGTTGAAAATGACATTTTCGTTTCTTTTCTTAAACTATTCTGTCCTTCACATGTACAAATATGTAAAAAAAAATCCTAATCCGGAAACATTCTCTTCTGGTCCGGACGAGTTCTGAATATACAGGTTCAACTGTATGTAGATTAAAATAAACAATTTAGTAATAATCCCTTCATCTCACCATCGAATGTTCCAAATTTAAAGAAGGGAAAGCCCATTATACAAATTAAGGGTAAAAGTTTAACTTTGAATTTCGTCACCCTGTAATTTTCAGAAATTTTATGTTTTCCATACAATGCATAAAAAAAATATTACCATTTCTTAAGGATATGATAATATAAATCATCTAAAACGCTCATATGATGATGATTAATCATGAATCATTCAGATGGCGTTACAATATGTTACAATAATTTAATATATCTAATAAATTAGAAATAATAAGTTAACATTCTAGATCAATAATAACATAATTACACATACTTTAAAGGCACATTATGTCTCAGAAATACATATTAATCAAATGTTTTAGAAATGTTAAACATGTGTAAAATAATGTTTTAATAGTTGATTTAGAATACGTATGATGTTTAATAACTGAAGAAAGTAGCGCTGAAAGTGCAGTAATATGTCGTTAAGGTAGCAAAATGTAAACAAAGTAGTATTTTGACTTCTATACACAACACTAATTTATTATACTTATACCAATTGTCAGCAGAAAAAAAGAAACAAAGACAGTTCAGTTGTATGACAAATAAGTATTATTTTGGAAACTGTAACAAGATGCCAAAATAGAAAGTTTTTGAGAAATTAGAATGATAGCGAATTCAGAGGTATGATGGGCCTTTAAGTATAATGATCACTACAGATGTAATGTGACAATGTCATAGTAATTTTGATATGTATAGATAGTTACCGATACTTTGACAATTTAACAATAGAGGATGATCACTACAGATGTAATGTGATATTGTGATAGTAATATTGTTATCTATAGATAGTTACCGATACTCTGTCAATTTAACAATAGAGAATGATAACTACAGATGTAATGTGATATTGTGATAGTAATATTGTTTTCTATAGATAGTTACCGACACTTTGTCAATTTAACAATAGAGCATGATCACTACAGATGTAATGTGATAATGTGATAGTAATATTGATATCTATACATAGTTACCGATACTCTGTCAATTTAACAATAGAGAATGATAACTACAGATGTAATGTGATATTGTGATAGTAATATTGATATCTATACATAGTTACCGATACTCTGTCAATTTAACAAGAAAGCATGATTACTACAGATGTAATGTGATAATGTGATAGCAATATTGATATTAATAGATAGGTAACGATTCTTTGTCAATTTAAAGCAGCACGCCTCCAGGTTCATACTAATTTTCATGAAAATGTATTTGAATGTGTAATATTGTGAAATAACCAAACGGAAGCAAATTACACATTCTCAATTACACTTACAAACCACATAAATCACCAAAAAGAGGTCAAAATATGTATAAATAGCCTTTATTGCGTTAGTAACGCAGTAGAAATATCATTGTAAATACTGAAAAAATCAGTCATTAATCGCATATAATACGTAAAATGTTACTTGAATTTTGAAACTTTTTACTTTTCCTTACATCTTAGTCCATTTTTCTCAAGTTTGATTTTATTGAAATATTTTGACTCATCTGGAGGCATGCAGCTTTAACAATAGAACTAAATCACTACACATGTAATGTGATATTGTGATAGTAATATTGATATCTATATATAGTTACCGATACTTTGTCAATTTAACAATAAAACATAGAACAGGACAGAACGTCTATTTTATTTTATTTAAAGAAAAAATGCAGTATATGTACTTATTTAAGCATATCAAAATCTATTTTGGTAAAATTGTTTTAAACTTTGCATAATGGCGAAAAAAGGGAGTATAAAACATTATCTGAAAAACAATTAAGTATCATATGCTTGATTTAATTGTACTATTAAGGATGGACGTTTTCTATACAATCTAGTTTAAAAAGGTAATGTTAAAAACAAAACTACAAGTGTTTAACGACAATATGACAGTTTGAGAAATATCCGTTACTCTTAGTGGTACAATATAAACTTTGTGATAACCGTTAGAAGTTCTATTGAAGGCGCTCGGCAAACTAAGGGTAATAAGTTAGTTAATAAGATATACTAGTAATATATAAATATTTTTGCGGAAATTATCTTAACTATTTTCTTTTTTAGGTTAAAACATGAAGTGTTGTTTGGCAGTATTCATACTTATTTCGTCGTGTGTCGCACTGGGAGATGCGTGCAGCTGTTTTCCAGCAACAGACACTGAAAAGTATTGTGCAACATACAACGATTTTGGTTCGTGTTGCAGTCCTTAGAACTGTTTTAAGTTCTTTCGAGTTGAAAAGTTGATTTGAAAAAGTTATACATATACAGTTTAAAAATCAAATGCAAAATTAAATCACCGTAACTCAGGGGGTAAATATAATACCATTTTAATTAGGGATAATAATAGAACAGCTTTAGTTTAAAGTCGGCTATAAAATAAAACAGGTTTTAAAGTCGGGAGGTAATTAAAACAGTACCGAGTTTGAATTGGATCTGTATTCCAATGGAAGCAACCTGGTCTAGTTATTCATGGGTCGACAGTTCGATTCCATTCTCTATCAAATACAATACCAATTGTCTTTCCAATGACAAATCCCATGTATCGGCTCATCTACACGGGACATGTAAAGGTGCCAGAGTCACCACTAGAATGGGGGGAGGGGTATAAGCAATAGAAATGCGACAGTAATTAAACAACAGAGAAATAAAGCTTTTGTTTTCGGGAGGGAAATGTAACAGTTTTAACAGTAGGGAGTCATTTTACAACAGCTTAAGAATAAGCCCGCTTTAATGTGTACGGCCGCTTTTAAACCAATAAGGGAAATAAAACAGCTTTAAGAGCAAGTGAAAAATATAACAACATCATAAATATTATAACGCGACCATTGTGTATATTTCAGCTATTCTAATACAAGTAAAGAATGGCGGCCAAATTGTTCAAAATAAAAGGAGATACAAGATTGATCTATTGAACATATACAATATTACGGTAAAGTAAACATATTTTTATATGCCATGTGTGCTTTTTATTAACAAAAATAGTGACGGGTTTGTAAAACAATGTTTACTTATCTGTCGATTCTACATTTGATTTTGTATTTTTTTAGAATTTGAAAGATAAACGATGCTGGTATGGACAAACTTACTCTTTCCTACACCTTCCCCTGCCCATTTCCTTTTTAAAAGGCTGATTATACTTGCTTGTTTATTTTATTACGAAGGCATTTTTAGTATTTTACCTTCTTTCCAGTTTGGGCTTAAATGTTTTTGTTAACAATAATGTCTTATTTTTTAATTATTTGAACATGTTTACTTTTCTATGACAGATTACCAATACGAATCTTCAAACAAACTTTATATTTACCGCGGTGGAAGGCAGTCTGTGCGGGATCACATTGCAAAATGGCAAGTTTTACGTTTTGACAGGTTTGTATTATTTACTTATATCGACGTTTTGTTGTTGTTGTTTTTTATGTGTTTTTTTTTTGTTTTTTTTTTGGGGGGGGGGGGGAATCGGCGGGGTGTTGGTGCGATTGAATCAAACATAACTTTATGTAATTGGCTCATTTGATGGGATGGTCGCAGGACTTCGTACAATCTCAACATAATACAAAGATTACACTCAATTTTTCATTAAATTGACTCAACATAAAAGAAAACTGAACCCAATCTAAAGCAAACTTGACCTAACACTATGTTAACTCGCTTTAACACAATGTCAACATGTAGAGTTTTCCCATCTCATTGCCAAATCAAACTAAACATAATGATATCATTATACAGTCTAAAGCAAGCTTGGCCTAACATTGTGGCAACTTGACTCAACATATTGTCAACATCATGCCAACCTGATTTATTATAACGCCAACTTGACCAAAACTTATAAATTTGAACTTGACTGGACATTCTTAACTGGACACAATCAAAAGCGGCCTTCAGCTTTTCTTAAGGTTGATTATATTATTTAGATAACTCGTTTCTTATAATTGTCAAAACAAAAGAAAATGAAATTGCCGACAATAAAATACATTAACACTAAGGAACCCCCTCGATACCTTTAAACTTCCAGTCCGCTCTCCATCTTCACACTTGTTAAGCGGACGATCCGATTACCGATCAGCATAATATAATTTTACCCAACATAATAATAACTTGACTGAACATAGTAATGCATTAACCTGACTCAACATAATGATAAATAGCTTGACTCAACATAATAATACCTTTTTACTGTTTACTGACGTTACATCATCTAATGTGGCCAAACACGCTGTAGAAAAAAAAACTGTTTAAATATACACGGGGCTTTCTTTTACCATGACATTCTAACTGGAGAAATATTCCAGATTGATGCAATTCGTAGAAACTGTGAACAGATTTAACTATTAACTTTTTATATTATCACCGTTTAACAACAGTGACTGTACTATTTAACTACTGTGTCATTCAACTACCGTATCAATTGACTTTTGTTTCATTATAGTAATTATTTATTTAATTACTGTACCATTTAAGTGCTGTATCATTTATATACTTACCAAACTTTAACAACTGTACCATTTAACTTCTGTACTTTTTAAACGACTGTACCATTTAACTACGTATGATTTTACTACTGTATCATTTAACTATTTACCATTTAAGTACTTACCATTTTTAACTACTGTACCATTTAACTACTGTACAATTAAACTACTTGACCATTTAACTACTTTACCATTTAACTACTGTTCCATTTAACTACAGTACCATTCAACTACTGTACTATTTAACTACTGTACTATTTAACTACATTACAATTCAACTACATTTCAACTTAAGCGCTATACAATTTGCTACTGTACCATTTAACTTCTGTACTATTTTCTTGTTATTTTGTTACAGGTACCATCGCCGATGGTAACGGAAATCAGAAGATACTGCAGACATTGTCATGTGACCTGCGCATACAGTATGATTCAGAAGCCGACGTTGACTTTGTAGCACCGACCTGCTAATTCAAATGTCTCTTTCTTTATTTACAATACAGTTAACCCTGTGTGAAAGATCACTTCAGAAAAATCCACACAAATACTGTCTATACAAGTCACGTCTTAAATTTATTTTTTATTTTTGTGTTTGACTGTCTTAATACATATCAATATTTTAAGACTGATTAGCCAAATAAAATTGCAAGCTTAATTGTTAGAAGCTATCAGAAATAAAAGAAAATGGTGATAAAGTTACTATAAAGAAATCTACTTAAACATTATTTCAAAAATTAAAACATTGCGTTTTCTTACTTGATGTTATTCTTTATTGACTTTCTTTTTAAGAAGAAAATACATAACGTAAACGTCCATCTAACAGACTTTTAAGAAAAAGTTGTGGACAACTATCAAACAGCCCTTTAGAAAATCAGTGACAATTTATATATTACGATAGAAAAAAATATGATGTCACCCTTGCTCCTATTCTTAAATCGTTTTTGATCATTCAAAAATTTATACAAATAATAAGTTTAGACGTTTGCCATTTAATATTATAGAAAATATGATTGTGGGAGTGCAACAGAGCATAAATTGTAGAATCTTATTTAGAATGTCCATCCATGAATATAAGAAAATCAGTTGTAGACTTCCATTCATGAATATAAGAAAAATACAATCGTAGACTTCCATCCTTGATTATAAGAAAATCAGTTGTAAACGTCCATATAAAAATCATTTGCTGACGACCAGCTATGAATATAGAAAAAGTCAATTGTAGACGTCTATCAATAAATTTAAGAAAATCAATTACAGACGTCCATCTATGAATTTAAGAAATCAATTGCAGAAGCCCATCCATGAATTTAAGAAACTCGATTGCAGATGTCCATCAATGAATATAAGACAATCAGTTGTAAACGTCCATATAAAAAAAATAAATTGCTGACGTTCATCTATGAATGTAGGAAAATCAGTTGTAGACGTCTATCCATAAATATCAGAAAATAAGTTGTAAACGTCCATCAATGAAAATCAGAAAATCAATTGCAGACGTCAATCCATTAATATAAGAAATTCAGTTGTAAACACCAATCAATAAATATAACAAAATCAGTTGTATAAGTCCATCCATGAATATAAGAAAAGCAATTGCAGACGCCCATGCATGAGTATGAAAAAAATCAACTGTACACGTCCATCCATAAATATAAGATCGCAGTACATAAGAAAATCAATGGTAGTCGTCTATATATGAATAAAAGAAAATCTATTGTAGACGTTCATCCATGAATATTAGAAACTCAATTGTTATAGTCCATCAATAAATATAAAAAAATCAATTGCAGGCGTTCATCCATTAATATAAGAAAATCAATTGTAGACGTCTTTGAATGAATTTAAGAAAATCAATTGAATACGTCCATCCATGAATTTTAGAAAATCAATTGCAGACGTCCGTCCATGAAAACAATGGAAGGTGTTCATCTATGAATAAAAACAAGTATAGACGTCTATGCATAGATATAAAAAAATCAATTGTAGACGTTCTTCCATGAATATAAGAAAATCAATTGTAGACGTTCATCAATGAATATAAGGAAAACAATTGCAGACGTCCGTCCATAAATATAAGAAAATCAATTGTAGACGTTCTGCCATGAATATAAGAAAATCATTTGCAGACGTCCATCTATGAATTTAAGAAAATCGATTGAGACGTCCATTCATGAATAATAACAAAACAATTATAGATCAATTGTTGACGTCCAGCCATGAATGTAAGAAAATAAATTGAAATACGTTCATCCATGAATATAAGAAATCAATTGTAGACGTCCATCCATGAATATAACAATTCAATTGTAGACGTCCATCCATGAATATAAGAAATCAATTCTAGACGTCAATTCATAAATATAAGAAATCAATTCTAGACGTCAATACATAAATATTAGACAATCAATTGCTGATGCCATCCATGAAAATAAGAAATCAAGTGTAGACGTCCATCTATGAATTTAAGAAAATCAATTGAGACATCCATTCATGAATATAAAAAAACAATTGTAGACGTCCATCCATGATTTTTCAGAAAATCAATTGAAGACGTCCATCCATGAGTATAAGAAAATCAATTGAAGACATCCATCCATGATATAAGAAATCAAATGCAGATTAGAATTTCAATGGTAGAGGTCCATCCATGATAAGAAGAAAATTAGTAAAAGTTGTTTAACTCTATGATATTACAAAATATCATATATCATTTGTTGTGGACGCCGTTCTATTAATTTATTGGAAACACAACTGCTGACGACGTACAATCTATGAATTTATTATAAAATCGGAAATAGACGTTCACCCATTATTTTAACAGAACACTAATTGTAGATGGGCATCTATCGAATAAATTTGCGGATGTCCCATCATTTACTTGAAAAGAAATCGTATGTGCACATCTATCCATAACTTTATCAGAATAATAAGATATTGAGGTTCATCAACAAATTTTAATCCAATTATTGACTTCCAAAATGAATTGATAAGAAATCAATATGAACATTCATCAACTTGTAATAAAGCCAATTTAGGGCGTCCATCCATGAATTTTAAGGGTCTAATTGTTTACGTCCAGCCATAAACTTAAAAGAATATCAGTCGCTGACGTCCATCCATGAATTTTAAGAAAATCAGTCGTGGGTGACTATCAATAAATGTATAAGAAAAACATTTGATGACGTCTATCCGGGCATTTGTAGGAAAATCAAATTGTGACAGTATATTTATTTATCTCAGAATAAAACCAATTATGGACGTTTATTCGTAAATTTATTAGACAGTCAATTGAGGACGCCCATCCCCCAATGAAGTTATAGGTAAGTCATCTCTAGGCGTCAATCAGTTATTAATAGGACGGTCATACTGAATGTGAATTTCTAAGAAAGATTTGTGACCAAGATGGTTATTGATTATCCAGTGATTTCAGACTTCAGATTTCTCAACATTTCCCTTTTTTAGAATCAACTTTATACTTTTACTTGCAAAATGACACATATACACATGTAAATTCAAATCAATGTTCCCAAAATTCGAACGATTTAGAACCAAATTAAAATCACGTATTGAACTTGAACAAATAATAGCGCATTCAAAACGATAATGTAGAAATATTCAATAACACCTGGCAACCTTTTCTCATCTTAAAACGGCTCATTTACCTTGATCCCAATCATCTATCTTTTTCAACCTTTTTTATCCGATAAAAAGGAACCATTAAATAAGGTATGAAATCATGACTCGTTGTTAATTTATACTACTGCATGCACTCAAACACAAAAGTGATTTTGTACTTCTTGGTCAGTATGATATGGTTTCCCGACACATATTGATCATTTGGACGGGGAGAATAAATAAGGTCAGTCTTATTGCTGGGGCTCGGGAAAGAAAAAACTTTTTCTTTAGTTATAAATTTGATCAGTCCATTTTATAACAGATTTGTTAGCAATTTTGTTCTACAAAATATATATTTCAAAACGAATCTTACGTAAAACATATGTTGTTCTATATTTTCAACCTTGCATTTTCTATTCAGATTTAATCATTTTATTTATGCACCAGTTTCTGAATGGTGTAACCACTAATTTAGTTCATGTTGAATTACGTTTAATGAAGCGGTGCCTTAAAAGTAAAGTATTGTATCTAAAAGGAAATTATATCCAACTTCTATTCGTATACCTTCTTTAAAACATCAATATACTTTTTGTTAAATTTTCAAACCTATATATCTCTGCTTTTTCAATGAAAGATGTCACATTTCAGTTAATTTGAAATACTATTATGTCGGAAAAGATGACACATGAATATTCACGCACTACTGAATAAGAAGTTAAACGACCAATATAATTAAAATTGAATTAGAATTTACCCTGTTTTAAACTTGGATATTATTTCATATTTATTTCTTGAGTGTGGATCCATCCGAGACTTTAGGTATAAAACTAGAGCTATTTCAAAACAGACGGAATTTATTTTTCGTTAAGCATCTGAAAGGAATATTCCTAAAGAAAAGGAATGATGGTTGATTTAAGGTAAGTAATGTTACGGCACTATTATAAATGAAGATTTAAATCTTAAATTGTATTATTAACCAGTTTGATTAAGCTGCGGTCTCGCTTACGGTAAGTTACCGGGATGATCCGGGATGAAATTGTTGTTGCGGTCACACTTACACCGGCAGCACTACGGCATTTCCCAAATAACAACCGGACCATCCAGGCAGAGCCCAGGTGAAGCTACGGTTCATGCCGGTGCTTCCCCGGTCGTTCCCGGACGATGCCGTCAGAGCCCCGGTTGACCCAGGTAGAGCCTCGGTCGATCCCGGCAGAGCCTAGGACGATCCTAGCAGACCCCGGTTAAACCCCGGTGGATTGAAAACGCGCGAAAATGATAACGGTGATACATAATTTTCATTTAATATAACAACAGTCATCATTTCGCACCATGCCACCGAAGGGTAAAGTAAGCATAAAAGGTCTTCTTCTGAAGCGACCTTCAATATTGAGGCGCCAGTCGACAAAGACAGCAGACCATATTGTGATGGAGAAAAGGATAAATAAATGACCAGGGATCCAGTAAAACTGCCAAAAAAGCAGCAATCTCCGCCTCTTTTACTGTCTGAGGAACAGAAAGAGGCTTAAGTAGATTGGTTAAAAAATCATGACTTTTCATTCGTCAAAGGGAGGAAAGAATTCAAAAATACTTCAATGAAAAATGGGTTATGGCAAACAACTGCAGACCAGCTGAACATCGACAAGAAGGCTTTATATACATGGTATGAATCCATAAGAACCAAAGTTTCAAAATTGACAAACGCTCCAAGTGGTTCTTGTGCTAAGAAACTGACGGACAGGGAGAAAATCATTCTGAGAAATTTCGTGTTTCTAAAAACTTATATTTCGAGAATGCCGTCGAGGCTTGCTGTAAGCGTAAGTTATTTTCATTGTGTTTTACATGATTTTATTGTAATTCATGAACATAACCACTCGTTGTCAACTTGTCACCTTAAATAAAATTTGAAAAACGTACTCAATCGATTAAAACTCAAGCTCTTTTACATCGGACATGACAGTGATGACTTATATTTCTAACTAAAGTAAACTAATATATTTGTGTAATTGCTGCAGAACATGATATCTATCCATTTTTATTCCTCAGATGAAAAACAAGCTATATAAATAAAGATGGTGAAACAAATATGGTAACACCACCGAGACCACTCGACTCTGGAGAAGAATCGTCAAACGGCGAGCGC